CCCCCCTCCCCCCACCCCAAACTACAAAAAAACTGCGGGCTTCCATCACCCCTTCCGCAGCTCTCTATGAAGTTGTCATTGCTGCTAAAAATTAGAGCTATTATTTCAACTTCTGTAGTTTGTGAATTTCTGGACAGAATTGAGACTCTCTATAAAACATCCACAACTGTTTTCTTTTGTCTAAATAATATCAAGATTTTTCTTTGAACATCTTTCAAAAGCCCGATTACTTCTGCCCGAAGTCCAACAAACACAGCAGCTAAAATATTTTCTCAGACTAAACCCCTCTAAATAGGGAACCAAAATGAATTCTGCAAGGTTCTCCAATTGATTTCTATGAAATTCGAGACAAAACAATCAATAAAAGAAGAATGAGCAAAGTGGGGAAGAGGAGGTCACGAAAAAGTTGTGCTGGAAAATATTGTGAAAGAAAAGGGGGAGGGGGAGAAAGTGTGGAGGGGAGGGGAATCTGGGAATACTGTGAAAGAAACGGGGGAGTAGGGGAGAAGAAGGAGGGGGTGGGGAGGGGGGATGGACTATGGAGGGGAACCTGGAAAATTAAAGAATGGAATTAAAGCCTTTTTTACAACAACAATAACAACCCAGTAAAATTTCACAAGTGGGGTAAGGAATTAAAGGTTTTTTTAATTTAATCTTTTTAACTTTTTGCTTTTAATTAAAAACTTAAAATTTTTATTTTATTTAGTAAGTATCTTTTAAATCATAACCATTACATACACACGTTTTTTTACGGTGATAGGCACGCACTTTTGCCACGTCAGTTATACCACTAACACATAAGGTTGGTCATTGGCCAATGGTCAATGGTGTTTATTAATACTCATTCTATAAGGTTGAGGTGTTAAAATGGGACATTCCTAAGTTTATTTTCCGGGATAAAAAATCGGTGCAAGTTCAAATGACTACAAGGCATTTACCACATTTTTTCATGTTTGGTGATTATTTTTGACAACAACATTTAGTTAAATAAATCATTCGACGTCATGAAAAGAAAGTACTTATTTTATTGAAATAAAAAAAATATTTTCTCTANAGGGGTGGGGGTGAGGGTAGGGGTGGTAGGGATTGGTGGAGATGGAGAATGTTGAAAAAGAGTTTTGGAAAATATTTTCCCTTCTCTTGATAGGGAAAACATTTTCTTCCAATTGGAGAAAAATGAATTCATAAAGAAAATATTTTTCAAACATTTAATCCAACCAAATATGAGAAAGTTAGAAAATATTTTTCCAAACATGGGTCCAGGTAGAACTCTAAGATTGAGCATATCCATGAGTCAAGCTTGGACATCATCATGGATCCCATTTGGGCTGATGATTTTTGATGGGTTAACTTGGGCTAGCCCAAAATAACTTATTCTCTTTTCGAAACTTTTTCGTATATATACGAGATTTTAATCTTATTTACCCAATTTTGTCTAAGATTTCCTATTTACGGAATGTAACTAAAGTTTTTTACAAAATATATACAAATTCGGTCAAAATCTACAATATACGTATAATTTATCTACAACTTAAATATAATTTTTTCGTATAGAATCCAGTAAAATACTACAATTTACATATAATTTATATACAATTATATTAGTTGTATATATTTTGTATGCCGTTTCTACACCCGAAATACAAAATATATACATTTTTTTATGTTTTCTCTTTCGAGTTTCAATCTGAAATTCCAACCAAAACCACCTCGAATCATAACCAAATTCTCTAAAAATTGAGATATAATCTCCAAAAGATATTCCCAATCATTTGTAACAACACCCAATCCAAACAAATAATAATTTTTCAAAATTCGATTTTCAAATTCAAAACTTTAAAGTTTTTTAATGGTTGTCAATGGAGTTTCGCAATTACAATTACGTTCTAACTCTATAATTGTTAAAAGGGAACTTTCGTTAACAAGCAAACACATTAAATAAAAGATAAATTAGACAATTTCCAACCAAAATCTCAGTGCTTTCGTAGAAGCAGAGAAATGTGAAACTTGAAATAAATTCTGCAAAAGAGATTTTGGGCGATTGGTTACATTGGGGTGGGGGATGGGATACGTTATCTGTGTATTAGTTGAGAGACGTCGGAATTGGGTACGTTGGAAAGCTAATTAAAGTCATATAATTTAGGGATATTAAATTATCACTAAAATATATATATTTGATAAATTGTATATCAAATTGGAATTAAGTTAAAACTTCTGTAGTGTGGGTAAATAAGTTTCTAAAGTAATATAGCTTGGTAAAAATCTCTTTTCAAAATCGTTTTAGCCCAAATCTATTAAAACTTGGACGGGTTAGACGGGTCAAATTAGGTTGGGGTGGGTCAAATAATTATAAGTACTCTTTTGCAATTCAGTCAAAAGTAAAAAATACGTTTATTTTAAAAAGAAAATTAGAAAAAGCAGCAGCTCCTTCACTTTCGCCACTGCAAGCTCGCGCTTGGCCAACCGGTTCCAATGCCGCTGGGCTGTGGCCTGTGGCACTATGGCTCAAGGTACTTTCTAATTTCCTTTATTTCAAGCGTTTTCTTATGGCATTCTATTCCACAAGCGTTAGCAACTTAGGTGAAATGAACAAATAGGGGGTTGTGCCTGTTTCTGTGTGTATATATGTATGTGTGTTCGTGTGGTTTGGGAGAGGAGTGGCTTTGCTTGTTAAGAGGACTTAGAGTCTTCTGTATAGATCATGTGCTCTGGTATTGTTCAAATTTGGTTCTGGTGGACAATGGACATTGAGTTTTGAAGAGGAAAGTTATAAATTAAAAGACTTCGTCTAGACCTTAAGGCTAATGCGTAATAGATATTTTTAATTGGACAAAGTGAGCGTTTGGACATAAGAATTGTAAAATTCCGGAAAAAAGGGAAAAAACTTTTCTAAGTGAAAATGGTATTTGAAAATTAGAGTTGTGTTTGGACATAAATATAATTTTGGGTTGTTTTTGAATTTTTATGAGTGATCTGACTGAAAATTTTGAAAAACAGTTTTTTGGAGTTTTTCAAATTTTCGAAAAATTCCAAAATTAATTTTCATAAAAATTTTATAGCCAAACACTGATTTAAAAAAAAGTAAAATTTTTTCGAAAAAAGTGAAAAAAAATTCATGGCCAAACGGGCTCTAAGCTTAGGTGTGACATCGTGACGATTGAGGTAGACTATCAATCACATGTATTAGATCCAATATTTGATTGAAGTCTTTTAAGTTTGTTTAGAGATTGTATAACAGTGTGGGGATAGGTGTAAGATTTAGAGAATCTCTATTTTGTCCTAAAAGACAAATAATTGAGTGGTAGACTGCAACGGATACATAGGATTCATATAGCCGACCTAAGCTAGTGTGCGAGTGAGGCGTAATTGTTGTTGTTACCTCGCTTAGCCATCAATAAAGGTCCTAGACAAATGATCTTCTGAAACTCCTCCTTATTTATTAGAACTATTACATTGCTGAAGCCCTGCAAGTTGTCACTAGCTGCCTGTATTTGCATGATTATATATTACTTTTAAGCTAGCAATCATTACATAATTTTAACCTTATTTGCAAGCCTATGCCCGTTGGCTTCTGCAACACATGTGCGACGCTTCTTCTGTTCTATCTTGCAATTTCCTGTGTTAACTGAAAATGGTCTCGCCAAACAAAAATCTATTATCTAATTGGCTCCCATTCAAGCCTGATAATAGAGTGTAGCTGTCGCATTTCGATTTGCTCCCCTACAGTTTCTTTTTTGGAATCTCTATCATTAAACCCTACCCCACCCCAACCATGCATGTCCATGACATGTGTTTACATTGGTTACTACTTGGTTTAAGGAAGATTTGGAGCTTATCATCAGCATGTCTCTTAAGGAGCCCTCAAGCCACGAGGTTAAGGTCAGATTCAAACCTTTTCAAGTCCTTTTGGCAAAACTCATATTCGTGTAACTTACCCCTTAATTCACCGTATGTTAGCAAATTGTTATTTGCTTGAAAGACGCGTGCTGAAATAGTCGAGGCTTAAGTTTTAGTAACAGCAGCTGATGTTTTCTTCTCTTTGATATTTTCTTTCATAATCCTCAATTTCACTTATGCTCTTTGAAATAGTCAAAGAGCTTCGAGTGCAGCTTTAGAAGAAAAACCTAAAAAGAAAAGCTTAGTAGGAAGCAGCTGATTCTTGTGTCTCTTATGCTTTTCGTGGATATGTGAATGTAGACTCTAGGACCATTGAATTGTGAGTTCAACATTTTGCAAAGAATAAGCTTTGTAATCCTATGATACAAGATTAAATGCTTCAGATGGAGGTGAAGATGAGGATTACTATGAAATTACTGTTTAAATTCCCAGTAAAGCAGTAATATACAGGCTACTTTCTCTTTGATGGATCGGATGTTTATCTTGCTACTTGATTCTTGTCGCAATGTCTTCTGCCACTAGTTCCCAATTTGTCGGGCAGTATAAATAATTCTTGCTTTGGCTTAGCTTAAAGACCACGGCGTATCGAATTGTAGTTCATATTGTCTAGTAGGTCTCGTTGCAAGCATGTAATTTCAAAACTAGCAGTATGTTGTTTAAATAGCTTTAAGATAATAATTGTATCAATGTAGTTGGAAATCTCTAGGTAAAGAAGTGGTATACAAAAAGTAGAGAACCTGTACAAAAACATGGTTCTCTATATATAATTTGTCTTTTGTTTCTTGTAAATTTTTGGTACACACATGAGGTTCCAGTTAGTATAGATGGTCGATCTATACTAACTGGAACCTCATGGGTGTACCAAAAATTTACAAGAAACAAAAGACAAATTATATATACAAACATCTTTTTAAAGGGGGGCAAGGCCAGCAGTTGAGTATTTGGACAAACGAGTAGTCCAGTCGATGCAACACAGAATTCCTTGCCAAATCAATATACCCTAAAGTTGTGACGACTTACGTAATTGGCAGTTGATAAAGTGTGTGCATGTTTTCTTGTATATCCATGTTCTCGTTTTGTGGATATGATTCTAATATTCCAGTTTCAATTTCAACAGTTTCTGCTGCATTAAGTTCCTACAGACAAGGCTTCCATCAGTTAATTTTTTGTTACAGTTAATACAGCACCACATCCAGCAATCCAATCTATTGAGTCAGACTATATTGAACTATAATTCTAAGGCATTTGTTCTTTGTCCTTAATCTATCCATGTGTTTAATTTATCCATGTGATGCATGTTATTCTGAACCGACAGCGGGAAAGGTTTTGGCTCCTATTGTGCTTGATAGGCAAATTTGTGTGTGTACATTCGAAAATGTTAACCAACACCGTGACAAATGCTAAACTGTCTGATTTCCAGTTATTAAAATTGAACTGGCTGGTAATCTGGGCCTATTTGGTCTAGGAAAAAAACTCTTCCATACCTATATTTCACTTTCTAAAGTATCCATTGCTTTTCTAGATTGCAAAAATCAACCAAGTTCAGCTGTTGGTCCAACCCATGTCCACTTGGCTCCGGAATTCTTCCTACGAGGTTTGTGGTTTCATATGTCTCAGTTTGTTGATCCCAGGAACATATACGTATCATTTCATTGGTAATTTTATCAAAATTTTACGCAAAATGTGGCTATATGTGTACTCCTAAATTTATGCAAGTAGAGTGAGTTTTTTGCCAAATGCAACTTGTCTTCTTAGTCATCCATTCATGAATGCTCTAATTCCTCCTCTTCTGGTCTTTTACAATTGTATGACCTCTTTCTTGGTCAAGTATTAGTGCAGATATAAAACATCTCAGGGCTTGGTGGTTGAATTCTATTTGCACCTCAAGTGGCGTGCCAACATCTCTTTGGTCCAGTTAAGCACATTTGCCTCTTAATACAGATGTAGCTTTAAAAGTGCGCTTCAGGAGTCTCAGCACATATGAAAATTCACGACTTTGAAAAATACAATTCGAGCACATAACAAGTATGTACAGTTGTCCATCCTTTAAATATTTACTCTTTATGATATGAATCCAGTTAGAAAGGGAACTAGAAATAATTTTTAACTACAAGATTATGTTGAGCTGGTACGATTTGTTGGTGTTGATAAGCTCCTCAAGTTATTGCCTAATTTCAATTTTCCCTGGGTTATTGCACTTGGCTGATCTTATTACTCAAGTTTCACCTCCATATTGTTTGTATGGTGCAGCAACAGTACACCGCACTCTAATTATTTACCACACCTGCCACGGTGTTGTTAAACACGTCTTCCTGACAAAGGCTAATTTGAGTTAAGTTTTTTCTTTCAATTTAATCAAAGGTAATTGCCGAAGCGGGATTAATATATATTTCGTGTTTCTCTTAAACAAATTAGGTGATTAAGTTTAGAAAAAGTTATACTGCATTTCGAATATCATGTACATTCCTTTCTCATGCTTATCATTTTCTTAATATTTGTGAAAAGTTCGGCTTTTGGTGCATAGGCATTATTTGTTGAATCAAACAGTTTTTTTTGAATAAATGAAAATCTTGGAGAAACAAAGACGAAGTAGGGTATCAACCTGAATTCACTAAGCATAAGCTTTACATAAATGTGCAAAATCTGAAAAATAGTCAAAGAAAAATGCCACTCATATCTGTAATTTCTTATCTTTCGCCTGAATCAGACCCTAAATGCACCGGGACATTGATCAAACAAAGGTGATTAAGTTGAGCAATATCTTCATTAAATTCTTTTACGTTAAATTTATTTAGGAGAGGATCCAAATTAAGTTGGTTGCTAAGATGATCCATTCATTGTTGGATTATTTCAGGTCATCTCATTGACATCTCAGCTTTGGAAACTAGTTTTATTTATTTATGTTCTATGTATGAACATCCACTTGAACATCTCAGCTTTGGAAACTAGTTTTATTTATTTATGAACATCTACCGCTGGCTTTATACAGTTCTTTCTTTCTAAAAAAGCGTCATGAAATTTTGAATTAATTGCTATAGTTAAGAATCCCCACAAGGTGGAACTCTCAGCCTTGTTGAAGATTTGGTTTCTATGTGTGCCTACTGATTGGGTGCCTGTCCTATTAAATTCTACACGTTTCATAGATTATGTCATTTCTTGAGGAGACTGCCACATTGTAAGTGGGAGAATGAATCAATTAACTTCCTGACTGGTATTGTCGGCATTCGGTAATGAATATGTAATGTCGACTATCCTTTTCTTTTATGACTTGGACTTCTACTGTTTGTAAAGACATGTACATTATGATGATTGGTAAAGTTGTGTTGTTTTTCAAAATCTCATTTGTGCTTATTGAACATACATAGATATAATTATGTGTCTACATTGGCGTATGTACTTAAGGACAGAAGTTCATTAATACTGATTGTAGCAGAGCATCTGGTCCTAAATTCTCAAAAGACGGCGACAACCTTTGTGAATATATGTCACCTGTTAACTAAAATCGATGTTCCTGAAATAGTGCCTGCTCAAAGAATGGTGATTTTTAAATCTTTTATTTATTTATCTATTTGTTAATTTGTGTATGGTGATTGAAACAACACAGTCATCCTAATGTTTTACTTGCATCTCCATTTTATGAGTTAAATCTCGTGTACAACAAAAGAACAAGAATATAGATGCTAAATTCAGCAGAGTGGCGCTCAAGATTTATGTTGTCTGATGTATTTGAAGGGGGGAGTTGCAGGCAATCTTTCCTCAGGTTACATAGTATCTCATCATCCTGTATGTGGAAGACACTAGACATCTCAGCGGAGAGAAGACGACCTGGAATTCGTAGGGTAAATATTTTGTTCTATTCACTTCATAATTTGAGTTAGATAAGTCCTTTTTTCGCTGTTTGAAATTCAAGTCATGTAAGTATCTGAATATGCAGACCATTTGTCAAGAAAATATTCAAATGCTTCATGACTATTTCTCCTTGTAAGTAACCTGATTATGTAGTATGCTTTGGAGTCTCCAACATCAGCCTGTTGTCATTAACTCTGATGCTTAGTTTAACCAACCTGAATGATAGTTCTCATACTATCATGTTTTTATAGACCAAGTCGAAAAGCAAAATGAAGATTTGAATAATGTTGCTTGGACATGGTTAGGGGGTTGGAATATGATGAATTTTCTCATTCTTTCTTGATTCAATTCTTTTAGTTATTGCCCCATGTGGATGCTATAGACTTGCTATTATGTTTGCTTGTGTTGTACTTAAATCATTTCTTCTTTGGTTGGTTTGAGCGGATGAATGGCTAAGGAGGGATATGACAAGTTTGTTCCATTTCTAAGTAATGACTCTATATTCTAGTTTCTAGAGATGTGCACTAACTAAAGTTTGACTTGATGATTAGACATTTTTATTCAAGAATATGGTACACATAGAAAACTTGAAAGCAAAGCCTTGCATATATTTTGATCAAGATTCTGGCTATGCTTAACATCATTTCAACTAGGTAGAACCTAGCCTAAGAATTCTGGGTGTGTTTCTTTTATAGATTCTTGTTGATTACTGTTATATATTTGTACAAATTGCAGTCAGTTGAAACTTAAAAGTTTTTGAGGCTGATCCTGGCCAAACTGGGACCACAATGAAAATACTTGAGGAATTTCTTTTCAATGCTTTTTTGACCACTTGAAGCTCAAAACTTTGATGCTTTTCTTTCCTTTCTCTGAAAGGCCATCCTGATGGAGAGTGGCCAGACCACTTTCTTTCTAGAGAATAGGTTTTTCATTTTCAATCACAAGAAGTATTTAAACTTTTAAAGTAAAAAAGAAAAAAGAGATATCTGAAGATTTTTCAGGGTATTTTCTTGTATTGGACTTGAAATTCAAAGCTATTGCACCCAGGGTCAGAGCTAGCATGCGGGGTAAGGGTTCAGTCGAATCCAATAACCTTTGTCTAAATCTTGTGTTCTAAAAACTTCATTGAATATGTACAAATTATTAATTTAGAATCCATTAACTTAAACGGACTAAACTCCCGAGCCCATAGACCTTAAATTCTGCTAGCGCCTCTGACTCTGCACCATACATTATCCATCAGAAAATGACAAGTGATAAAAGGAAGGTTGGGGGGGAGGGAGGAGTTTCTCTTTACTTTCTTTTTGAGTTCTAAAGTTGAAATGATTAGCAGATTCCCTCCTGTTCTCACTCAAAATCAATGCATCATCTTGCTCAAAGCTTTATATCATCAATGAATTTTTAGAGGCTGTGCTTTGTGTTTATCATTTGAGTAGTGGGTGAAGCTGTTGGATTAAACTTTTTCTTCTTTTTCATCTTTTTCTTTATAGGAAAGAGAATTGGACTGATGTTCTAGGACACCATCCCTTGCATTGACCAACGTTATTTCAACATCACTGAATCTTGAACCATTCGTAGAGTAGTGAACAAGCTGAATGAAAATGACGACTCGATAAAGATTAAAAACAAACATTAGAAAATACCAACTTTTAATGCAGATCGATCTAATCCAACCCATCTACACATTATCACCAGGGAGTAAATTAGGAGTTCCATGTATGAGGAAACCGAACGGTAAATCCACGAGTCGAATGAGTGTAAAATGAGTATGGTTTTATTATATGTGTATATATTTTAATCTCTTTTTTGTTTAAATAAATACAGTTTGAGCGGAAAGCAATTAATTATCAGTTGAACCCACAAAACTGCATTTGAGGAAACCTACACCCAGAGGCGTATTCAAGTTGAGGGATATGAGTTTGCATGGACTCATACGACTTCAGAACCTATTTGTGATTCTTTTGGACAAGTGTGACGAAAATATGTGATTAAAAAAAAGAGTAATATTTTTATATATAGCGCTCTTTTAAAGAGCGCTATATATATATAGCGCTCTTTAAAACATATAGCGCTCTTTAAAAGAGCGCTATATATATATAACGCTCTTTTAAACCGCACTATATACATAGCGTGGTATATAACTGCGCTATACCTATTTTGTGGGCCCACCAATAAGTCTCATGCGTTTAACTAAAGAGCGCTATACCTAAAAATATTCAGCGGCATTGCCTTATTTAAAGGCGTTAGGATTTTACAAAAATCCATTCAAAAATATTCCTAACTCTTGTTCAAATTTTTCTTCTTGTTAAATTCTCAAGCATTTTTTTATAATGTCTAAAGAGTGAAAAGTAAGGGTTTCATTATATTGGGGGGTGAGATTGTGGTGGCGAATAACTCTGTGAGCTATAGTTTATCTCCACAGTGTCATGTTAAGTTGCCACTTACAATGGAGTACGATAGATTGGTATCATTGTTATGTAATAAAATGAGTGTGAGGAAACGTTCGGTGAATCTTAAAGTAACCGGAAGATATCCGTATTTCGTTACTCCGCAAGGGGTTGCTTGTTACGCTGAGTTTAACATCGACGATGATGAAACTTTGAGGGATTTTTTGAGGACTCCGGATGAATACCGAAAATTTCTTGTGATAAAAATGTTGGAAATATACGTCAAGGTCGAAGACGTTCGCAATAATGAGGTTGCGCATAGTAGGGATAACCCTCAGTCATCGGGTGGTTATTCTGGAGCAGTTTTTGCCAGACAGGTTCCGGATGAAAGAGTTTGCCCTGATTTAAACTTATCACCACGGGCGAATGAGGAGCGAGAAAATAATTTCTCTCCTGCTTTACATAATCTACAAGACGAGTGGTAAACTTTAATTTTTCTTAGTGTTACGATGTATATTTTTGTTGTATTGAATTTGTATTAACACTCATATATTCCACAAGGGGTACCAGCCAGATATGACTTTTACAAGTTATGAACCCACGCCCAGTTGGAATATGCGTAGTTCTGGTGTGTTGGATCATGGTGGTCCATCCGGGAGTCATCACCAACATGATAATGTCCATCAAGGAATGTCAACACGTTACGACTTGTAAGTAAAGTGATACAGCTATATGAAAAGTATTTATTAATTTCAGTAGCTTATTATTTTGTTATTTGTGCAGTGAAAACGAGCAAGTTGAACCACCTGTCCTCACTCAATTGCCCGAAGACGACATATTAAATCGGGATCTGGCAGATGCACAGAGTGAGGAAGAGAACAGTGATTATGACAACAATGCCGATGATTCCGGAGACGACACACCCTTCCCTCATGAGGATGGTGACGAGGAGGAAGAGAATGAAGGACCTGATTTGACGAGGGAGTATGCTCCATCCCCCCGTTAGACCAAGAGTGTACGAGTCCCAAGTGTCGTTTCATTCAAGGAAGATTCCCTACCTTGATAAATTGCCAAGTATGCCGGATGTGGATGCTCTCACAAGGAATTTTGATGAAATTCGGACAGCAATGTGGGATGATTCTAGACCAACGGTGCTGGCAAAGGGCATGCTTTTTCCTGATAAAGTGCGCCTAAGCAGGGCGGCAAAAATGTACAGCGTAAAAGAGTGTCATGAGATGATGGTATGGGAGTCAAGTCCGGATGTATACAAGGTTGTTTTTCGCAGATAGTTTACGGGTTGTCATTGGATGCTGCGTGCGAGCAAGAAGAACACGGGTCTGTGGAAAGTGGGTAAATATATTCCCACTCACAGATGTGAAATGGACACACTCAATGGGAATCACTACAACTTGGATATTTACTTGATTTCTCTTGTCCTTATTCCACACCTTGAAACATCCATAAGGTATAAAATCAAAGAGTGCATTACATCAGTCCACCAGGAATATGGTCATACCATTACCAAAAGAAAGGCATTTCTCAGGCGCAAACGTGCGTTTGAAATTGTTTATGGTAACTGGGATAAGTCATTTGCAGCTCTACCCAAGTACATGACCGCATTGAAACACTTTAGCCCCGGGACGGTTATTGAATGAAAGCTTGAGCGTAATCTAGGAAAATCAGAATATATATTCAATTACGTGTTCTGGGCATTTAAACCAGCAATTGATGATTTTCCGCATTGCCGGCCGGTAATATCCATAGACGACACTCATGTCTATGGAAAGTATGATATCAAGTTGTTAATAGGCGTTGCAGTAGATGCTAATGGACAAATATTTCCTCTAGCATTTACTATTTGTGCCAATGAAAGCCAAGAGACGTGGACGCTGTTTTTGAACCATTTGAAAGAGCACGTTGTCAAACAGTGTTCCGGCATTTGTCTAATATCTGATCGGCATGGTGGTATCTTAAGTTATGCAGAGAACTTGCCTGCATGGCAAGAACCTTATGCCTACCACTGTTACTGTGTGGGGCACTTTAAGGCCAATTTCCAGAAGGCACATCCCAATAAGGATCTGCATGATTTGATGTGGATGGCAGCAACAGACTACCAAGAGCATAAATTTCGGAGGCACATAGAATCTATCAGGTAGGAAGACGAGAGAGCCTATCATTGGTTGATGCGACATGAGCTTCAGAAGTGGACTTTGCATGCGGATGGTGGAAGAAGATGAGGAATTCTGACTACAAATGTGTGAGAGTCTTTCAACGGGTTATTGAAGTCAGCAAGAGGATTGCATGTCACTGCCATGGTGCGGATGTCGTTCAAGCAGATGGCGGAGAGGTTTGTTGAAAGGACTACAGCTGCAACGTCATTAATGGAAAGGGGTGTTGAATTTATGCCACTGCCGATGAAGAGATTTGAGAAATGCAGGCGGCGAGCACATTGGCATTCATTTTTGCAGTATGATCACGACAGAAATATTTTTGAAGTTCGCACCGCTATCCATCAAAATCGGGGGAATAATATACATACCATAAATGAATCTAGAAGGTTATGCTCTTGTGGAAAATGGTCCATCTACCATATGTGGTGCTCACATACTATCAGGTGCTTTCAACATACAGGTTTAGGGCCAACCAACTACGCTGATAAACAATATAGTGTTGCTGCTTACTTAAACACCTATAGTGGGCAGTTACAGCCAGTGGGTGCTGAGCATTATTGGCCGCCGGAACCATTTAAAATGGTGTGTAACAAGGACTATTTGCGTCGAATACAGGTGCAGAAGAGAACGCATATACGGAACGAAATGGATGTTAGTGATACCGTTTATGCGCGCAAATATGGTATATGCTCGTAAACAGGACACAACCGTCGAAAATATCCTTCGTCTGGTTTGAGTGGCGGTGGTAATCAAGCTCGTGGTGGGTGTTCTTCTAATGTTTCTAACTATCAATGAGTTTATATTGTAATAAGTAGATGTTTTGTTTATGTTGCAAGATGTATCAAATAAAATTATGTTTCCATTGTTGTTAAATCTTATTAATATTTAATATTTTTCAGTTGAGTAAATTAATGTATTTCTCCCTCCCGT